TGTGGAAAGAATGTTGAAAATATATCGAAACTTTTGTGATCTGTAAGCTGTTGTAGATTATAAAAGAGGATCTCCTAGTTTATAGCTAAACTTCTTTCTTCTGAAATTGAATGTTCTGGATCTTGTTCTTCAAGAGTTTGAAGTTGAGAGTTTGAAATTGTTCAATCAATTGATTGTTAATTTTTACTTTGCAGGTATCCCCCCAATTCCCTGATAGGATTGAAAACGAAGAAGAACTTTTAGCTCTCTTAAAACCAAACAAGAAGTCTCGAAGAAGGAAGAAAGAAAAAGAAAATACTGAAAACATACCCAGACAACTGGCATCAATTAAACATCTATTGGGTGAATTGGATTTTGAATGCAAGAATGTGAGGGACAAGGATACAAATGAGAAAAGCAAAGTTCCATGTAGAAGATCTCAAAGGCTCAGGAAACTTAAAAAAGCTCATTTTTTGTTTCAAGAACCACAAGTTATGACTCCTGTAAATAAGCAAGGAGCTGTTGTTCTTGCATATGAAACACCAGATCAAGAGCTTTTAGCAGCAGTTGAAAGGAAACGCTTATCAACAAAAAGAGGAAGATAACATGAAGCCCATTGTTATCATTATCATTTTTCTACAATGAATAACTCTTGGAAATGATTTGAATATAGGCTGAAAATACTAGCAAGCTTTCTCTTTATGCTCAAGTATTATTCTTTTTGGAAATATTTACATGTATGATAAGTAATATGTGACTATCTCAGTCTATAAACGGGAAGATTTTATGCCTTTCCTATGTGAAAGGGATTTAGCTAATGAAAGACAGTGTATAAAGAGTAATATTAATCCTTTACACCCTAACATCAATATGCATATTCTCCATAGTGTTCTCTATACATTTCTTAAGGTGCTGACAAAGAGAATTAATTTTGTTTAACAATCAAGAGTTTCTATAGTTGGTGATCATTTCCTTTATTCTTGTGACTTTATTGTGTGATCCAGGTGATAATGTAAGGAGTAATTAGATACTAGTCACTTTTTAGGGGTCAAGTGGTTGATAATATCAAAGACTGTTACAATTGGTAGCTAAAAAACAATACCAGATTGAAATGTCATAATATACTTCAAAATATGTAATCTTCGAAGAAAGATGCCAATCAGATGTGAACTATATTAAAGTTACTTTAATTTTTAAATTGCCCATTATCGATATCCTGTCATAAGTGGGTAAGTTATTCCTCCTTCTTACAGTCCTAAGGCTTGAATAGCAATGATAATCTGAATATGAAATCATATTGTCTCAGTTATTGTTTCATCACTTCACAAGTTTATTTATTTAAGAACCAACATAATGACCAGCTCCCAGTTGGCTTGTCAGTGCAGTTGGTATAGTGCTGCATTGGTATCACAGAAATCATGGGTTCAAACCTGTGACAATAGGATTAAAGTAGGGATTGTTTTACCTTCGTCTTTTTGTCTCTCCCATCCATTACCAAGTCCATGTACAGGGTAATTTCTTCTTTCCATCTTTTCCAGGCACGAGGGAGCTCACTGGGTTTTCTGAAATCCAAATTGCCGTGCAGTTTGAGCTCAGAGAACTATCGTTCCATGCCAGTGCTTGTGCTGGACTTTCCAGGTGTTTCATCTGGCATTAATTTTTGTTAGACAATACTCACTCCTGAAATCTTGCGGCTTGTTACAAAATCTTTTACAGGCCTGAATTTTTTTCTGGCCTTATTTTCAGCACTGCGTAAGTAGTGCTCATTACTGCTAAGATCCCCTTCATATTTCATTTCTTAAACCACAGTTCAGCACATATCTATGATTTTCATGTATTCACAGCTATCAATGATAATCTATTGTGTGAACTAAGAGTTATAAGAAATTGTAGGGCAAATACTGTTTTCAACTATTTTTTTCCAGGGATACTCTTGTGAATGGAACTTACTGTTCTTACTTAGTGTTTTAGCATGGTCTATACTCTTACTTGACAATGACATTTATTGTCACAGTGGTCAAAATGTTGTGTACTCATGTTGATGCGAGCAGCATTATCCATACTCTTACTGACAATGGCAAATTGGCCAATCAGATTATGACATTTCTGCCGATTGTTGTCAAATTTTGTTTCTAGGAAGGCTTAGTTTGGGCCTGATGGTACCCATCTTTGAACATGTCTCATTTATTTGCATTACTTTTCTGCTTGATATTGTATTGATAGTGTAAGGGGAAATTCTGTCATGGTCACTCATTGAAGTTATTTTGAGTTGATTTCAATCTCCTTGGACTCCTACAGCCTAGATCAAGACAGGTGTGGTGGGACATGCCAGGTCTCCTTTATTTGCCGCCGATACAGGAAAATAAGTTATTCTTTTCCCAGCATTTCAATATTGAGCCCTATTTTCGAATCATTGAGGCGTCCCACGTTGGACCTCAAGATTCCTCATTATTAAAACGGCAGAAGCCTGGTACGAGTAATTTGGTCACCTCGGCGATTTGATCTTGTAGTAAACTGTTCTTGTAAACTTTATTGAAATTTTTCAGCGAAATAGCTCTAGAGAGGTAAAGATGACAATGTATATCCTGTAGAAGGGCTAATGTATCTGCTGCATTTCAATCAAGATAATTTAGATCAGAACTGCTCCGAAATCAGGCGTGACCGTTTGGAACTGAAGAGTCTCGTAATTACCTTGTAGTTACAGTAAGTGATGACCTCCATTGTTTTGAAAGTGATTGATCTTCGACTACTTTTGATAACTGTAAATATGGTTAATTACTTTCTTCCTTACGTAAATTCCGTAAACATAGGAATGCTGTCAGCACTGTATACTACAAGTCAGGCTTTCACGTGCACGTGATGATCCCGAAGGTTTGGAGATGATACGCTAGGGTTGTGTTACTGTTTTGATCGAAGCGGGAAGGGTTGCACGTCGCGAGCTCATCAACTCAAGAACCAAATGAAAGACAAAGTTGTCCACGCGAGCTCACAAAGCGATGATAACAGCGAGGCATTGAAACTATCTTCTTCAGCAGTCCCTCCGTTTTATATCCCTGGTGAGTTAACGAATAAATTCATTTATCTAATAGTTTGTTTGCCTTGACTGTTTTATAAGGTTATACGGACATATGCACGCTAAAATTAGACAACTTCGTATCTTACAGGAAGTTTAAAAACTCTTATTCTCCGCTAGCTATCGCTCTTCTCGATATTTATCTTAGTTCTTATGAAGTTAGTAGATTTTTCCTCGAAGGGTTTAAAAAAACGTTTTTTCAATTAATAAACATTGGTGGTTACATATTATATTTAATGCCAAGTACACAGTCATCCGAAAGTTCAGAGTTCATCAATTTTAAACTCCCTTAATTGTGGCTTATTCTAAGTAAATTTTTACTCTTATTAGTCTTGGAACTTTCCCTTTGCAAGATTATGAATGAAACTGTAATGAGGATGTTTAAGTCTTGCATATAACAAGACTGACTCACATAACTGCCAATTAGCAAACTAGTTACTGTAGTGTGGTAGGACTGGTAAGGAATACTCTTACCTCCCCCTGGATGGGATCGCAGTCCCCTTAGAGGTTACACTTGTCTTTTGTTAGTTCTCTTGACAATATGCTGCTACATTATTTACTTTGTAACGAGGAGAACTGTTTTGTGAGAGGTAATAGGTGGCTTAATTCAGCTTAATAATTTACAGCCAAAAACTAATGATAAAAGTCCGATGTTTTGGTGACATCTTGGCACCATTGTCAAGGAAAACTAAAATTAATTAGGGTCTTAAAATAATTGAGAAGAATATGCTACCTTTCTATAACACCAAGAAATGGTCAGATATTCTAGTCTTCTCACCGGATAAATGGAGGTTCCTTTTCCTGCAGGGTTAGGGGCAGGAGATGTTAATTTCCCATGCACAAGATTACTGTGTGATGGATGTCCTCCCCTGGGGTGGGATGGGTGGGTAACAGGACCCCTGTTGATACCAGTGTTTACTACACTAAAGGGGCTATCCTGTAGAAATATTATATACTACTACTACGAAATATGTGATCTCAAGAGTAAGTAACTAAGAATCCAGAGTCACTAATTTGCATAGGTCAGGCAAAGGCCTCAGCACAAATTTAGTCTGATTGTACGTTCAAACACGGTTGCAATTGTTTAATGAGTAACATCTCATTAACGAGACAATCAAACTTGTTATGGCATTTTTTCAACACCTTAAAACAACTGTGAAAGTCATCCGAAATCCTGCCTGCGTGTCTATTATCGTTGGTAGTGTTTGTGCACTGATGAGGTCTTGCTTCTATGTCCATCAATGCGTACAAAGAGATGACCACGGACCCGTGTATCCGACATATATATAACCAGCATCGCACTGGTCACACATGAAGTTATACACAACGCATTGTTGATCAATGAGCTGAGGCTTTGGTTCGCTTGTCGAGAACTCCTGGGCAATCTTACAGCTTGTAAACACTGGTTGGACAATGGTCTGGAGTTTCACACTGAGGTCTTTTAACTGTGTCTTCACTAGCCTGCGAACAGGCTCCCCGTTTAATCAGACCTGGGGACACAGGAAGGTCTTTGCCTGACTTATGCAAATAAGTGACTCTGGATTCTTAGTTACTCTTGAGATTGCATATTTAATTTAGTTTTCCTCAACACTGGCACCAAGATTTCGCCAAAACGTTGGACTATTATCGGTAGTTTTTGGCTGTTTATGTTTATTGAAATCATTGTTGCTTAATAATTAAGCACAATTATAAAATTTCCTGTGTCATGGAGGGTGTGTTGTGTTACGTATTTGCTAAAAATAGAACTGAAGAAGTTTCTAGAATGCTTAGTCATGCTGACTCATTGACAACTTTTAATAGAACTTTCTAGAACCCTTAGTCAGCATATATTGTTATGATGCAATAGTGATGTCATGTCGATACTAAAATTACCCGGTAGTCGTATTACAGATCTCGAGAAAATTCTAGAACATTTTGTGAAACACATATATAAGGAGCTGCGATCTGTTAAAGTTAGGCCTTTTTCAGCGAGTTAGTGTTGTCGTGAAGAGCCCAGCGGAGCTAGTGTTATTACAGAGCTGCACTTAAGAGAGCTGTTGGAATTTATTATTACTGAAGTTGTCAGCCGTGTGGAAGGCTACATTGAGAAAAGTTGTGGATGTCGTTAAGTCACAAGGATTTATGAAGAGAACCATGAGTTGTGCAGTAGTGTACTGAGGTTAAAGTTTTATCAAGAGCTCTAAGCTAAAAAGTTAGTTATTGTATTGGTATTGGTATTGCTCCGAAGTAAGATGATTACGTCAATTAATAAAAGTAGTTGAGTTAGTACGAGTTGTATCTTTCTGTCGGTTGGGAAAATACCGTAACACCTGGTGGGTTAGAATCTGGAGCTCAATTTCTGTTGGAGT